AATGATTTGGGTTAGGTTAGTTTGAAACGAAGTGGGTCCCCTCCTTAGGAAGGGGGCGAAACTGTACTACCTCCACGTGTGTATTTTGCAACGCAGAGCAGAAAGTCCATTTGACCAGACATTAGTCATCAAAAGCTATTTTCCTAAAATGACCAATTGCCTGCGACATATATATACGTGATAGCACAAGACAATGCAGCATATACATATATATGACTAACTTCCAACACAGTGTTATGACTTGATCACATCAACATTAGTTATTAATAATTAGATAAACTTCGTTCCTTTGTCCTCTTTTTACATAAAACAGCGAGAATTATCGTAAATAAAAAAAAAAGAAAATATAAAACAAAGTTTTGTTCAAATAAAAAAAGCATAGCATGAAAAATAAAAGCTTTGAAATTATAAGAGTATGTTTTATAAATAATGTAATTTATAAAACATTAATATAAAAAAAGAATGTCGTCATATCATTTAAGTATATTTTTTTTATGGAAATGTATCAAGAGGATTTATTAAATATCAATTTTTGTTGCATTTAATGTCGATTTTCATGGAATTCAATCTGTAAATGAAGTGTTAAAAATGATATGAATCTCTAAACCGCGTAGTATTATCTTAGAAATTGGAAAACAACTGGAAAACAAAGATTTGAGAAATTTTATATAATTTCAGTCAATATAATTTGCTCCACAGTTCATTGTAATTTTACAAATTTTTTATTTGTTAAATAATTTGGGTATAAAAACTTTAGATATAAATACAAATAACAATTTGTGTTTCTACACGGAAAGAACGATTTTGTTGAGAGGTCTAAAAATTTTGCTAAATACAGATCTGAAAATAATTCTTATTCAATTATTAAAATAATTTGTTGGAAAGTTAAAAATTATAAGTTTTAATTACTATAAAACGTTTTAATATTCTAGCAATAATTGTGACTTTCTAACAAAATTATTTTGATTATTGAACAAAAATTATTTTCAGATCTGGATTCAGCAAAATTGTTTCTTCCATATACCTAAAAGCGATTGGGAAGCATTTCTTGTTGTAATATCGCTTTAGTTATTTTCGTTATAAGATTTATTCTATAAGAAGATTATATAGATTTATAGATCAATACGCAGTTCAGAGATGTAAACACACTATATACGTAATTCTACATTTAATTACCATGTACCTACATAAGCATACACTCTACACGTCGCATATTCAGGATTAACAAGAATGGGATCGATATAAGACTGTAACGTAGAGTAACCTACTACTGTAACATATATACGTAAACAGATCAGTATTTGAAAGCGAGCTGATTCGAATGAACTGCCTGTAATTAGTTTTATTGTTACGATAAATAGAACGAAACAGCAGACTAAATTCTTTTTTAATATACCTAATTACATATACGCGGCGAGTCGATAAATTAGTTTCCCAAATATAGCCAGACGGTATGACACACTTATTATATCATTGAACTTTGTATAATATACCCAATACCCACAAGGACCACAAGTAGAAATAGGACTTTCAAAGTTACGATTTGTTAGTTCTCGTAGAATTGGCGTAACAAAAGCATCCGTGATGCGCGTACGTTCGTACTTAAGGGGAAATATCGATGTTTTGACACGTCCCGCGACGTTCTCTGTTTCAGAACCGAGAGGAAGGAAACCGGGTCAAGTCCTCGCGCGATGTGAAAACAGAAATTTCGTTATTGATCAAATCGCGTATATCGCGCATCTCGACGTGCATACATACACACGAAGTTCCAATTTTTCTACGCAATTTCTCATCGTGACGCAAGCGGAGTGAAGGCAAGGCTTTTTCTCGGAAAAATGCAAATCCGCGCGG